GTTCTTGGTTGGCTGCTGGTCGCCTGGGGGAGGGGTTGTATATCTACAGGGAACAGTGATCGAGACTCCCCCTTCGCCCGCAAACCGTGTCGTTCACTCCCACCCGCCCTCCCAACACACAAGTAACACCCGAGGGAGTTTCAGCATATTGCTTAGGAGCGCCGCGCATGCCATGTGCGCTACGGGTTCCAGGTGCACCGGGCACCCTGGAGGCCCAAGCGAACCAGGCGCGCTAGGTGCGGGAACTGCTCCACGTTTAAGCAATATGCCGGCACCCCCGTCGCCCCTGCCAAAAACCAATGCAAAAGGATCGCGGGGCGCAAACGCATGCTCCAGATGTGGAGGCAAAGTGTATTATGTATTGTTTTTTTCGATCGGAATCGTTGACTTGCGCGCAGCGAGCAATATGACGGCACCCCCGCCGCCCCTGTCCAAAACCAATGCAACGTGGTCGCGGGGCGCCCGCGCACGCTCTAGATGTGGGGGCAAAGTGCATGTTGTATTGTTTTTGGGCAGGTATGGTTGGCTTGCGGTCAGCGAGCAATATGACGGCACCCCCGCCGCCCGTATTTCAAAAACCAATGCGAAGTGATCGCGGGGCGCCCGCGCATGCTCAAGATGTGGAGGCAAAGTGCAGTCTGCGTTGTTTTTTGACAGGGATGGCTGGCCTGCGCGCAGCGAGCAACATGACGGCACCCCGGCAGTCCTTTTCCCAAACCAATGCAAAGTGGTCGCAGGGCGCCCGCTTGTGCTTCAGATTAGGAGGCAAAGTGAAGTGTGTACTGTTCTTGATAAGGCTGATGGGGTGGGGTGGGGGGCCTGTCTCGGGTTGGTCCACTGTCGGGTGGGGGAGGGGGGTCTGTTCATAAGGGTCTGTCATGAACCGTTCCCCATACCCAGAGGGGAAGGAGGAGGGGGTGCAGATTAATGCGGGGCGGTGATAAGCCGTTCCCCCACCCGGAGGGGCAGAAGGAGGGCTGAAAGAGAAAGCGTCCCAAACCTTTCACGCCCTAAAGGTTTGGTGGGATTCCCCGAACAGCGTTTGCATTTGGGAGTTTTCATGCTTCAAGGCACTGGGCTCTGTTGTCAGGGCCGCCGCCTGGTGGTCGCCGTCGCCGCCCCGTCGCCGCCTCGTCATGCCTCGTCGCCGCCCGTCGTCTGGGCGCCGTTGTCGGGTCCGTCGCCTTGTGGTCGCCGTCGCCGCCCCGTCGCCGCCTCGTCGCATCGCGCTGCAGTTTGTTTTGCATTGTGTTGCATTGCTTTGCCTGGCTTTGCTTTGCTTTGCGTTACATCGTTTGGCATTGTTCCGAGTTGCTATGCATTGAGTTGAGTTGCATTGCTCTGCATTGCATTGCTTTGCCTTGTTGCTTAGCTGCTTGGTATTGCTTGCATTGCGTTGCATCGATGTGCATTGATTTGCATCGATTAGCATTGATTCGCATCACTTTGCATTGATTTCCATTGCTTTGCATTGCGCTGCATTGCAATGATTTACTTCGCCTTGCCTTACATGACTTTGCTGTGCGTTGGCTTGTGTTGCCTTGCGTTTTGTTGCTTTGCATCGCATTGCATTGCATAGCAGGGCTTTGCGTTGCTTTGCGCCCCATCGAGGGCACCACATGGATTGCACAACCTAGATTGCACCACATTGCCTGTACCACCTAGATTGCGTTGAATGCGTTGCAAGATACCAGTGTTTCGGGTCCAAGCTGGCCAACGTACATCTACACGTATACAAGCGTATACATTAATTCATATGTGTATACGAAGATACTTTATATGTTATGCGTTCTGTTTACCTTTCGCAATGTATCGTTCGCCCTCTACCTCCTTGCTCGCAATCGTTTGGCTAGGTCGACAAGCAGGTCGATTTCTGCGAGGAGATCCGGAAGGCGATGGCGGCACACAAGGGCAGGAAGATATCGTTCGATAATCTTGATGTCTCGCAGGTGCCGCCAAGGAGGAGGAGGAGGAGGAGGAGGGGGAGGAAGATGGGGACTGAAGTTAGCTGTTCTGGGTGCGGTTCGAAGATCACATCCTGTCACTCCCGCGACAAAGGCCGCACAGTTGACGGGAGGTACGCTGGAGGCTGCCGGTACGACGGCAACGACGCGACATATTGTCATCGCTTAAGGTGCCGTGCCGTGGCCGTTCCATTGGGCGCTCGTCATTCGGCGGCGAGCGCTAGGCTTTCCCCCTTGCCTTTCCCAAGTCGTCTGCAGTGCAAAGTCCATGCTCGTCAAGATGGGAAGGGCGCAGGCCCAGCTGGCCCTCGGTGTCCTCCCGTCTCAGTGCTCGGCGACGAGTCTGGGGGGAGAAGCGAGGAGGGGCGGACCCTTCCAGAAAGCTCGTCGGTCCAGATGGCCTTCGGAGAAGTTTTCTGAGCCTCCCCGGAGGACACGAGGAGCCTGTCAGGAAGCCGGAGGCCTTCTGAGAAGGCCCCCTCGCGCGCCGCCGGGTTATTCGTACATCCCAGCGCAGACAAACGGTGGAATGAATGGTCTTCACAGCATCCCGATGTGTGTCATTGCGCCTGTTCGCGTGCCCGTTCTTTACGGGTTTTCTGTGAGTTGGCGTTACCTCTACTTACCTTGTGCATCCATTGTCTTATCTTCTTGCGCCAGCCATGTCGCCAGGTGCATTGGTCTGGTATGACATTTTCTTTATTGATCGACTTGCTTAAAGAGACAGGCAGGGGATGGGCCAGTCGTCATTGGTTGCTGATGCAAGCGCCACGTTGCTACGGATCATGCCGCATTCATTTGCAAATTGAGGCCTAGCACGCCTTGATCGACGAATTGGTTGTTGAGTTGGTTGGTCCTACTGTATGGTTTTATATTTCGGCTCTTTCTGTCCGCCTTCCATATTGTAGATTGCAGTCGGCTTGGGAGGGGAAGGTGCCACGGCTGTCAGATGGAAATCGTTCAAGGCAGGGCTGGAAGACGAGGACAGTTGTCTCGTTCTCTCTTTCGCTCTCTTCTTTTTTATTTGTTTCTGGCTCTCTCTCTCTCTCTCGTTCTCTCGCTCTTTCCTCCCTTCCTCATTACCTCCCTTCCTTCCTCTCACCGATCATCATCCGTGCTTCTAATCTCGCGTTCGCTGTGCGCGTAGGTGCACTTTGCCGTGCGGTCTCCCTCGTACTTTCTGTCATGTTTTCTTCCTGTCGTGGCAGGTCCGCCAGCTGCAACACCTTCAAGGATATCATGACCTCTGGTTTGCGAACCACCTCCACCATCTTGGGGCCGCTAGCGGCCAGGCTGTCCTTGGTGCAGAGCGCCAGCTCACGCGAACCCCCACGCGGAATCTTCAGCATTATGCCGGCATCCGTCGAATTTGTTTTTGCTCAGTTTTTCTCTTTCTCATTTTCCCATGTTTCTCCTGCTGCTTGGCGTACTGGCATGTCCAGTGTATGTGTTTACAGACGTACACGTGTAATAATGTTGGGCGTCGTTCTCGTCTTCCTCGTCAGTAGACTGGGATCGAAGCCAACAGAGCGCACGCGCGCGTGGCATCCCAAGCAAGGGTGAATATGTGTTCCCCACCCTTTGTATGTACGCGCTTTGACATTCACTACTTGCACGTACTTAAACTCCCTTGTGCAAGGCCATGTGGGCGATCTTCACGCTGCTGGTTGGCGCTCGCCGCTGTGGTTGCGCGTTCCAGTATACGTCCAGTGAGTACGATCGTCGCGGCTGGAGAACGCTCCGTGGGTAGCGCTTGCTCCAGGAACTTGCAGTCCATGTTCGTCTTCCTCGTGGCCTTAAGCTCGCCGACCTCGTCGCCGCTGCCGCCGCGTCTGTCAGATTCGACGCCATGGAGATCGCATCGATGTAGCCCATCGTCCAGGCGCACAACACGGGTGCCCACAGTGCAGCGCAGTCGTGGCAGACACTGCGCCGAGCTCCTATTCAGACGCGATCATGGAGCTTCTTCTTGGCACCGCACCTGCCTGCCTGTGTCGTCCTGCCTGCTGTGGTGGGGTGCCCAGACTGGCGCAAGGAGGCAGCTACTTCTCGACGGCGAGCCCCCCCTGGGCTCGCCGCCAAGCTTGCGAGGCGCCCGCGCCGACGGCCCTCTTGAAGGACGCCGCGGTGCCTGGTGCCCCCGAGATCCGGGCGCCGCAGTTTTTCCACGCCCGCCTCTTCCGCCCGCCCTCGGGCCCCGGGGCCAACACAGATCGACGCGGCTCGAAAAGTGCCGCAGAAAGACGCGGTCCAGGGCTCCGGTCGTGATGCGCACAGTCGACCCGCATGGTAAGGATGGGCAATCTTCCCAAGGGTACCTTTGCATCCTTGTCCCCTCGGCCCATCCTTGGCCACTCGTTGGCCGCGCCCCGCTCGAAAAGCTTCGAAGTGGGCGTCCAAGGCCTTTGCATCCTGATCGCGCATCCTTATGATACTGTATGTCGCGATGTTGCAATTTTTCGCAGTTTCGGATTTCAGTGGTCTCGCACGTCGATTCGGACGCTCCTTTCTGCAACGCCTGCTACGGTGTAGTTTCTCCCCCCGCCGTGTGCCTCAGCGGTGCCGGGTCGCAGAAGCTGAGGCTCCGATGGGCTCCTCCTCCTCCTCCTCCTTCTCCTCCTCCTGCTCCTCCTCCTCCTCCTCCTCCTCCTCCTCCTCCTCCTCCTCCTCCTCCTCCTCCTCCTCTCGGGCCGCACCTCTCGGACCGCAAGGGTGGGTGGGTGGGGTGCGGGGCGGGGGCGGCTCTGTGCGGCCGAGTGCTCGGCACAGTCCAACAGATGGATTCTTGAGCAACAGCTTAAGGCCCGTATGCCCCTGGGGAGAAACCACCAACAAGGGTGCCAGCCGCGAAGCCCAGGCACTCAACGAAGGCCTCCCGAAGGAGCCGGCCGTGAGGCGCAGGCACACCACAGGGTCTCCATGGAGGGCGCCAGCCGCGAGGCGCAGGCACTCGGCCATGAGGCACTCGACCGATTGCGAACCCGGCCCCTGCGGGTTCAATCGGCGCTGGGGTATCGGACAACCTCCTCCTCCTCCTCCTCCTCCTCCTCCTCCTCTTCCTGCCCCTCCTCCTCGGAAGACAGGGGATAATGGAGTATGCGGTTTGTTGAACCCTTTCTTCACTCTTCTTTGCTTTCTTATCATATATGTTTTCTGTTCGTGTGTGTGGGTGTGTGAGCGGTGTGTATATGTGTGTGAGTGAGTGAGTGAGTGAGTGAGTGAGTGTGTGAGAGAGAGAATGTGTGTTAGTGTCTGTGTGTGTGTTTGTGTTTGTCTTTGTAGTTGTGTGCTTGTTTATATGTGTTGGGGTGTATGGGGGGAAAGAGAATTGTTCCTCTTCCCTCCCCCCAAAAAAAGAACAAACAAGTAAAACATTGACGCTCGCCTCGTTGTTGCTTCTTTTTTGGGGGAGAAGAGGACAAATCCACTCCACATCACCTCATCGCCTTCCTCCTCCCGACTCCCTCTACAACCTCCCCTTCCGGCTACCACCACCCCCATCATCATCGTCCTTTTCCCCCCTCCTCCTCCTCCTCCTCCTCCTCCTCCTCCTCCTCCTTCCTCGCTCTACCATTCCCCCTTCCCCTCTCTACTCCAGGGCACTCACGTTGTTACTGCGGGACCTTGTTTTTTTTCGGAGGGGATCCTAATTCAAGACAGCCCCTTTTGAGGGTTCCTCACCCAATGGGTCCTTACCAAGGATTCCTTGCGAAAAGGTATCATTGCAGACTTTTGCTTGCCCACAACATCATGGCTAACCATTCCGCACAAAGAAAAGGTGTCCTTCCTTAGGCTCCTTTGGTTCAGGCATCCTTGCGAATGAATGTTTACTGACATGGTTTTTACCACGGAGCACGCATTAAGCAGAATAAGGCTTAGCAGGACCTACCATAGCTTACCAGGGCTGAGCGGAGCGTGGCAAGATTCATCCGAAGTTAAGGGCCTACCAGGGCTCACCAAGGCTTAGCAAGGCTTAGCAGGCTGGCAAGGGTGAGCGAAGCCTGCCAGGGTTCAGAAGGGCGCACAAAGACTTAACGGGGCTGTGCAGAGCTCGCCAGGGCTTAGCAGAGGCTAGCAGTGTTCAGCAGGACGTATCAGGACTTAGCAGGACTTTGCGAAGCTTGCCAGGGCTTAGTAGTTCGGCAGGGCGCAGCAAGACTTCCCAAGGCCTGAGCAGGAATCACGAAGGCTTGGCAAGGCTTGCCCAGCTTTAGCAGGGCTTAGCAGGGCTCGGCGAAGCTCGGTAAGGCTTTCGGTGTCGCAAGGAGCAGCAGGGCTTAGCAAAGCTTGCCAAGGCCGGGCAAGGCTCAGCAAGGCTTCGCAGGGCTTAGCAATATTTGCCAAGCTTAGCTGGGCTGCGCAAGGCTTGCCAAGCTTAGAAGGGTTCAGCAGAGCTCAACAGGGCATAGCAAAGCGTACCGGGGCTCAGCAGGACGCACCAGAATTGGGCAAGGTTTTGCAGAGCCTTCCAGGGCTTTGCAGTGTCTGGCAGGCCACAGTAGGGTTTTGAAGGGTTTCGCAGGGCGTACTCGGGTTTGACAGGGTTTACCAAGGTTCACATATACGACCACCCTTCGGGTGATAAGGAGGCTATGTGGGGGGGAGAGGGGGGGAACCAAAATCTGACTCAATCGATCTCACTATTGATCTCACTCAACTGGACACCACGGGACTCCACGGGACACTACTGTCGATGTTTTTTTTTGGGGCACCACGGGACACCTCGGGCCACCACGGGACACCACGGGACACCGCGGGACACCTCTCGATCTCACTATCGGTCTCACTATCGATCTCACGATCGATCTCATTCAACGGGACACCACGGGACACCTGTCGATCTCAGAAAGCGCGCGTTCCGTGGTCGCTTGGAAAGGGGGGGGGTGGAACCAGACTCCCCCCCCCCTCCCCCCCCCGCTTCCCCTTCCTCGGGCCGGCGTCTGCGTCGGCGGCGGCTGGCGACGGCGGCGGGAACGATGATTTCCATTCGTGGGCCGGCGCCGGCGCCTGCGGCGGCGGGCGGCGGTGGCGGGGAGCGTCGACGAGGACGACGGTGGTGGTGGTGGTGGTGGTGGTGGTGGTGGTGGGTTGTGGTTGTGGTGGTGGTGGTGGCGGTGGTGGTGGTTGTGGTGGTGGTGGTGTGGTGGTTTGTTGTGGTGGTGGTGGTTGTGGCGGTGGGTTGTGGCGGTGGGTGGTGGTGGTGGTGCTTTGGTGTTGGTGTGGTGGTGGTTTGTGATGGTGGTGGTGGTGGCTTGTGGTGGTGGTGGTGGTGGTTTGGTGGTGGTGTGGTGGTGGTTTGTGGTGGTGGTTGTGGTGGGTTGTGTTTGTGGCGGTGGTTGTGGAGTGGTGGTGGTGGTGGTGGCGGTGTGGCGGTGGTGGTGGTGGTGTGGTGGTTTGTGGTGGTGGTTGTGGGTTGTGCTGCTGGTAGTGGTGGTGGTTTGTGGCGGTGGTGGTGGTGGTGTGGTAGATTGTGGTGGCGGTGGTGTTGGTAGTGGTTGTGGGTTTCTGTGGTGGTGGTGGTGATGGTGAGTTGTGGTGGTGGTGGTTGTGGTGATGTGGTGGTGGTGTGGTGGTGGTTTGTGGTGGTGGTGGTGGTGGTGGTGATGGTGGTGGTGTGGTGGTTTGTGGGTTTGTAGTGGTGGCGGTGGGTTGTGCTGCTGGTAGTTGTGGTGGTTGTGGCGTTGGTGCTGGTGGTGTGGTAGATTGTGGTGGTGTTGGTAGTGGTGGTGAGTTTTTGTGGTGGTGCTGGTGATGGTGAGTTGTGGTGGTGGTTGTGGTGGTGGTGGCTGTGGTGGTGGTGGTTGTGTGGTGCTGTTGGTGGTGGTGGTGATGGGCTGAGGCGGTGGAGGTGGTGGTAGTGGTGGTGGTGGTAGTGGTGGTAATCGTCGCTGCGTCCCCGCCGTCGCCGGCGCCAGCGCCGGCGCGAGGGGGGATGGGTTTGAACCCCCCCATCCCCCCCAGTGCCAGGGGGGGGGGAGTGAACCCCCCCCCCCCGTGAGCTGCCTCTGGTCATCGTCGCTGCGTCCCTGCCGTGGTAGCTGCTGGCGGCCGCCAGCGCCGCCGCCGGCGCCAGCGCCGAAGGGGCGGGGGGGAGGGGGGGGGGTTCGGGAGGGGGGGGGTCGGGGGGAGGGGGGTCCCCCTGGTTTTGATCGACGGCGCCGAGTGTTGGGTGGGGGGCCTACCCCCCGGTTCGAAACGCGCCGTCGAGTGTTCCCAAGGCAAGCGCCCGTGAAACGCGTTCTCTCCGATCTCACTATCGATCTCATTATCGATGTCACTTTTTGGGACACCTCGAGGCACTACATCGATCTCAGTATCAATTTCACTATCGATTTCATTATCGATCTCAGTCAACGGGCTACCACGGGACACCACGGGGCACTTGTCGATCTCACTATCGTTTTCACTTTTTGGGACACCACGGGACACTTCGGGGCACCATATCGATCCCCGTATCGATCTCACGATCGATTTCACTATCGATATAATTATCGATCTCACGATCGATCTCATTATCGATCTCACGAGACACCGCGAGCCACCGTCGGACGGACGGACGGACGGACGGGCGGACGGGGGATAATTATTTGTCTTGATTTCGCCCTAGGAACGGCGGACACAACGGGACACCGCGGGACACCACTGGGCCACCGCCGGACGGACGGACGGGGGAGAATCATTTGGCTTGACTTCGCCCTGGCATCGGCGGACGCCACGGGACACCACGGGACACCGCCAAGGCCACCGCCGGATGGGCGGACGGACGGGGGAGAATCATTTGTGTTGAGTTCGCCCTAGCAGCGGCGGACCACGGGACACCACGGGACACCACGGGACACCGCGGGACACCGCCAGGGCCACCGCCGGACGGACGGACGGACGGGGGATAATCATGTGTCTTGCTTTCGCCCTAGCAACGGCGTGTTCATTCATCTCGCGCGCCCACGCAGCTTCGCCGCGCCCGCACGCACGACATGAACGAAACGAAACGATTTCCCGGTTGGGGGTCTCCGTTCCACTGCGATCTCACCCCCCAATTTCCGACCATAATTTACCAAGTTTTTGCAGGGCCCAACAGGGCTCAACAAAGCCCAGCAGGGCTTAAGGCATTACACGGATTAGCAGGGCTGAGCAAAAGTTGCCAAGGCTGAGCAAGGCCCAGCAAAGCTTCGCACGGCTGAGCAGGGTTTGCCAAGCTTAGCTGGGTTTAGCAAGGCTTGCCAAAAGCTTGGGAGTGATTCGCAGAGCGTTGCTGCATATACCAAAGCATACCAGGGCTCAGCAGGGCGTGCCAGGATGTAGTAGGGTTTTGTAGAGTTTGCCAGGGCTTGACAGGGACTGGCAGGCCCCAGTGGGGTTTAGCACGGCTTACCATGGCGATCAGGTTAGTAAGTTCTGCCAAGTCTTAGTAGGGTCCAGATGGGCGCAGCAAGGCCTAGCAGGGCTTAAAGTTTTACAAGAATGCGCAGGGTTGAGCGGCGCTTGCCAAGCCTGAGCAAGGCTCGGCCAGGCTTTAGCAAAGCTTGACAAAGTTTGTCAAGGCTGAGCAAGGCTTAGCAAGTCTTAGCGTTGTTTAACAGAGTTTGCCAGTCATTATCAGTGCTTAGTGAGTCTTACCAAGACTTAGCTGGATTAAACAGAGTTTACCAGGGCTGGGCAAGGCATGGCAAGGCATATCCAGGCTTAGGGGCTTGCCAGTGCAAAGCAAGGTTTAGCAGAGCATAGCAGGGCTAAGCTTCCGCAGACTGTGCAAAACTTCACACTTCCACCACCAAGAGACCCTAAGGACATCGGAAGGGCCCCAACACATGCCTCCCCGAGTATGGCCTTCGAATTCGAAATTCCAAGCCCATGCCTGCTGGCAATGGGTTGGAAGTTCGAGGACCATACTCGGGGGGGATTTTTCTGTCGGTTGGCGGTTCTTTCAGATATTCGCAGATCGCGAGGGTATCGTCCACAAAATTCTCATATGCGTAACGATGCTGAAGACGAGGATGACGAGATTGAGGAGGACGAAGAAGATGAGGAGACCATGCGGCGCGAACGCCTGCACGCTTCGTGGAACAGACCGCATACTCCACAATCCCCTGGCCTCCCTCCTCCACCACCTCTCCCTCCTCCTCCTCCTCCACCTCCTCCCCCTCCTCCTCTACCTCCCCCCCTCCTCCTCCCCCTGCCCCTGCGGGTTCAATCGGAACTGTGGTACACTTGCCTGCAGACATCCAAGCCGCCGCTTCAGGAGACTAGCCTGCAGGGGTAGAGTTCACATGTGGTTGCCTATTCTCTCTATGGCAGGGCTTTCAACTCACGCGTGCATCTGCACGTGCTGACATCGAAGACCAAGAAAAGGGCATAAGCACGATGTTTCGGAGATCCGCGCGAATTTCTGGATCTGCACTGGGCCCCCTTGGCGGCGCCTCTAGCGCCGCCCCTGGCGCGCTCCGCGTTTCAGGGAGGGGGGCCCAGCGCCGATCCAAGGGATCCGCGCGGACCTCAGAGAAACTATGTGGATGCCATGCTGTTGTTCCCCTAGCACCTGCACGTGGACACGGAATCCTCCAGCAGCGAACCCGCGTGCTCTGAGCGCAAGGACTGCTTGGGTCATCGCACCTCGTCCGTGCGAACCTCGCGGGCGGCCCGTGGGCACAGGGCGGTGACCCAAGATCGCCGGAGGGGACGCCGCGCGGCAGAACATTCTGCGGTTCGCAGCGGTGGGGGAGCCCTTAGGACATCCGTAGGATTCCTCCGGACATCTATAGAGGATTCCTTAGGAAAACCGTCGGGTTCCTGAGGAAATCCTTCGGCTCCCTTTGGAAATCAAGAGGACCCCTCAGGAAATCCATGGGAACCCTTAGAACATTTAAATGATTCCTTTGGCAATCCTTAGGGAATCCATGGGATTCCTTAAGAAATCCATCGGATCCATCTCCCTGGCACGACATGCGGACTGTGGCCTTCGGTGATGCAGTCTGGATCCGGATGATGTTTTTAATTCTGTGGCGCAAGACCCAGATCGGAAATTGCTCCGCGCTGGCCCGTTTGAATACGTCGAGCCAGACGTGCCCCCCCCCCCGCGCGGAGTAGTTGGATTAGCTTCTGCTCCGAGTTTCCAAACATGGCTGCGCCAGCGGCGGATGAGGATTGGAGCAAATTCTCGTCACGACGATGCAGTCTTACAGGTTTTGAGACGGCAACTGTTCGTGATCTTGACGCACCGCCTGCAATGATGGCGCACCACAATGTTCGCTCCTGGCTGGGCTGGGCTGACTTTTGTTCTCGGAATGACGTTCGCTCCTCCTTCTATCCTCCTCCTGTTCCGTATCCTCCGCATCTTCAATTTCCCCGTTCATTCCTTCGTTGTCTCCCCATTCCCATTCGCACCCTTCATCATGCAGCCGTACTCCGTATGAACAACTCCCCATTGTTGCACCTCAGATATGTCCGCACGCCGGGCTGGACGTTTCGTTTGAGCTTCTCTTTACCATGTATAATCCCGGAGTTACAGTTTTGAAGCAGTTTTCAAGATGGAGGGCGCGTGATTTTCAAAGTGCAGTTTTCGCCCCAGCGCCGCGCGCATTCTTTCAGAAGCGTGCTACAGCTTCAAGGATGGAGTGCGAGTTCGTCCTGAAAGTTTGCACCAGCTTCAAGGATGGAGGCCAGTACGTTTTCACAATGCGGCTCTCGCCTTCAGCGCTGCGCAGCCCTGAAAATTGGGAACAATTACGCTGATGACGGGCGGCGCATCTTCGAAACGGGGCCTCCGCCTCAGCGACGCGGACGTTCGTCCTACGAGTTAGCAACACCAACAACGAATAGGGCACGACTCCTTTTGAAAATGGGGCTCCCGTTCCAGACTTCCTTGAATTTGCATGCCAGTCGCCTGAATCGATGCAACGGCAGCACGGGCGGAGGGAGGTTCGTTTCAAAAGCGGGCCGTCGCTCAAGACGGCCTCAGGTGAGACGACCAGGCGTGCAAGATCGCTCAACGGTTGCACGGGTCGGGCGCGGCTGTTGTTCATCGCGGGGCTCTCGCTAGACACCCTGCTGGGTTGTGTGAATGTGCGATCAGGCGTGTCCGCTGCCCTGGTGACTTCGCGAGAGGGACGCAAGGCAGCTCCTCGTGAAAAGCGGCTCGCTCGCCAGACTGGCAGGCCCAGAGGGTGCTCGTCGTTCCAGGGGGCAAAGGGGGCGCTTCCGCGGTGAAAAGGGGGCGTGTGGGGGCTCGTGAGTGAGGAGTGGGCTCGGGACGGGAGGTTGTACCGCAGTATCGTTGAGGCATCTTGGGTTTACTCAGGTATGCCTCCTCCTCCTCCTCCTCGTCATCCTCCTCCTCCTCGTCATCATCAGCATCATCAGCATCATCATCAGCAGCATCATCAGCATCATCATCATCACCATCACCATCCTCTTCCTCCTCATCCTCCTGCTCCTCCTCCTCATTCTCCTCCTCTTCGTCCTCGTCCTCCCCATCCTCCTCTTCTATCCCCCCCCCCTCCGTGCTGCCCCGCCCCCGCACAGGACATCTCACAGCTGGCATCCTGGCTGGAGGGGCTCGCAGCGGAAGACCTGCCCCGGGAGCCGCGAGGGCGAGGGAGGGAGGGGGGGGGAAGATAGAGAGGGGACGCCGTGTGGAGACGGCTGTTGCAGGATCCAAGGAAGGAGAGAGAGAGAGAGAGAGGGAGAGAGAGAGAGAGAACAGAAAAACGAGAGAGAGAGAGAGGGATAGAACGAACACAAGAAAATCATGTTCGGCGCACGGATCCCCAGGTGTGCATCCAATGCTGTGACACGTCTCTCTGTGGGTGTCCGAGCATGAGCGAGTCTAAACCTGAGCGCGACCGAATGAGAGGGAGTCTGAGTGTGAGCGCTGTTGCCTGCTGCTCTCTGCCGCCACCTGCTGATATGTGCCGCTCACTGCTTGGCTGTGCTTTTCTCTGATGCTCTCCGAGCTGGTCTCTGTAACTACTTGCTCATGATTACATTATCTTGCTCTCGGGATCAAGCTCTCTTCCTGCTCCGCCTCCACGTCCTCCTCCTCCTCTTCTGCCCAGTTGGCGCCCCTTCGGCAGGGCCCAAAGCATTGCTACATCACATTGACCATAAGTCCCTGCGGAGACATGTGTATACCGGGCCAAAACGGGAGAAAGGGAGGATGAGGAGCCATACAACAAGTGATGGAAGATGATCAGTGATGTTCGAGCCGTCGTGGGCCAGGTCTCTTGGATTCATGTTGGAGGCCAGTAAAGAACAATTCTGACCATATTGCACAACCTGTGATGTTTATCTGCAGCCATTTGGGGGAGTCTTGGAGCACTTCTGGAGCAGATGACCTGTGGGCACCGGTAGCCGGGATCAGACCGCCAGACCAGGCTCCCGAGGGAGGGACGTGGGGAGGGGCACATATTGTGAAGGCCTTACGGCCGGTGCCGCCGACCCTGAAGGTTTTGGCCGTCGATGGCGACGGGATGTGTGATCACAGGAAGGAGCTAAAGGACAACGTGACAGGGTAGGCGGAGGAAGTGTGTGAGGAGGAGGAGGAGGAGGAGGAGGAGGAGGAGGAGGAGGAGGAGGAGGAGGAGGAGGAGGAGGAGGAGGAGGAGGAGGAGGAGGAGGAGGAGAGGAGGAGGAGGAGGAGGAGGAGGAGGAGGAGGAGGAGGAGGAGGAGGAGAGGAGGAGGGAGGAGGAGGAGGAGGAGGAGGAGGGGGAGGAGGAGGAGGAGGAGGAGGAGGAGGAGGAGGAGGAGGGAGGAGGAGGAGGAGAGGAGGAGGAGGAGGACAAACGAAAAGGAGATGGAGAAGGTGGCAAAAGACGCTCAGGAGGAGAAGGAGGAGGAGGAGGAGGAGGAGGAGGAGGAGGAGAAGGAGGAGGAGGAGGAGGAGGGAGGTGGTATTCTGACCCGGGACCCCCCTCAGGACCCCCCGGGGACCCCCCCAGGACCCCCGCCTCCACCTTGGGCGGCACAGTCTGCGGGGTTGTTCCGCACCGCCCGCTGGGCCCCAGAGGTTCTCCGTCGCCTTCGGTCTCGGGGTGGCCGCTTCCGGCCCCCCTGGGCGCCTTCCGAGAAGGGCTTGGGGCAAGCAGCGCCCAGGACCCGTCGCGGCCCGGTGCTGCCCCTGCCCTCGTCGGCAGCATTCTCGTTCGCCTCCCCCCGCCCCGCCCCCCCCCCCCCCTGGGGGCACACGGCCGCCCAGGACCGGAGCGCTCTCCAAGCCAGGAGCGGTGGCCAGCCTCGCCGATGGCAGAGGCCCCCCGCGTTCCCGCAGGGGCTGCCCGAGCCGCGAGCCCGAATGGCCAGAGGAGCGGCTTAGACAGAGGCGTTCCGGCGCACGGAGCGGGCCTCGCTCCCGCGCGTGCGTGCCCTGGCCCCGAGTAGGAGGAGGAGGAGGAGGAGGAGGAGGAGGAGGAGGAGGAGGAGGAGGAGAGGGAGGAGGAGGAGGAGGAGGAGGAGGAGGAGGAGGAGGAGGAGGAGGAGGAGGCCAGGGGCACAGGACTGGACCGGGTTGGATCCCGGCTGCGCTCGGCCTCAGAGCACCCGGGGCCTTCGCGAGGCGCGGTCCCGGGGCGGGCGGCGAGCTGAGGCCAGCTTTTGGTTCATCATGGGGCCTCTTGGGGGCCTCTCGGGGCCTCTCAGGGCGCCTCTTGAGGCCTTCTGGGGCCTCCTGGGGCGGAAAGCTCGGATGTTCGGGGCCTCTTGGGGGCCTCTCGGGGCCTCTCAGGGCGCCTCTTGAGGCCTTCTGGGGCCTCCTGGGGCGGAAAGCTCGGATGTTCGGTTCGTGTTCCCTCTTTTGGGCCCCTCTTTGGGCCATCTTGAGATCCTGGCGCCTCTTGGGCTGTCTTCGGGTCCTCTTGGTCCGTTTGGGGGCCCTCTTGGAGGCCTCTTGGGCTGTCCTGGAGCGGTATTGGGGGCCTCTTGGGCCTTCTTGGAGCGTCGGAAAGCCGAAAAAGGCGACAACGCCAAAATCCTTGAAAAATCAACCGAAGCGCCTCTCGGGGTTCTCTTGGGCTGCCTCTTGGGGCTCTCCTGGAGCCTTTTATC